CCCCCCCAAATCTAGCCCTGGACCCCAACATCTGCCCACGTAGGGGGGAGCCACGTAGCCAGGTCGGCACAAGTCACTGGTGTGCACGGAAAGGAGGAAAAGAAGCCACCCACAGTGGTCTTAGCCCTCTGAGCTGGGGCCTTGGGTTGTATCCACCCTGCACCCCTGCCAGGCCAGCTCCATAGAAAGAAGGATCGGGCCCTGCCACCCAGCACAAGACCCCAGGACAACCCAGTGCATCTTGGGGACCCCACAGGCTGGGGAGTGGAGGCACTGCTGCCTCAAGCTCTGTGAAAGCCATGGAGTGGGCCAGCCTCAGCTCAGCCAAAGCAGACAACGCAGCCAAGGCTAGCCTGCTGGCCCTCTGAAGAGGATTAGCAGAGGGGCCCCCAATGCATGCTGGGGGACTGCAAAGTAATTTGATTCAAGAGGGGATCTGGGACAGAATTTCCATAAACCGGTTTAACCAAAATCAGTTAAGTCGAATACTACATCCATCCAGGTTGATCTTAAACCGGGTTCGGCCATTTTGAAATCAGTTTGTGCACACTGAACTTCTGTTCTGTTACAGGTTTAAACCAGTTTCCAATCACTAGGGATCCTGTTTTTTTCTGTTTAAAAATCCCAAATTCTCTGATTTAAAAAAACCTAAATTCTCTAATTAAAAGATCTAAAATCCACTTTTTTCCAAGATTAAAATGAAATGCCAGTGTGTGTGTATCAGTTGAACACAATGTTTTACTGATATATTCACAATTTTAAAGCAATTTTGAAGCCTACCAGTGCCTCAATCATTATAATAAAATACATTCTAAATACCTATATATTTTAGCATTTCATATAGGGGGGTTTTATCAAAGGAAGTCAGAGCTCCCTTTGCCTCCTTTTTTCACCAGGACACAGGTCCAGCTATGGCTGTTCCCACCCCCTGCTTTGTGGCACTGAGCAGCCCTAATATGCCAATGCCCTGCCCATGCCATTGCCCTTCACTCAACCCACAGCTCCCTGAGCCCTGCTGGTACCTTCACTCCTGACTCCCAGCCCCACCAACCCTGCCAGTGCTCTTCATTCCTGACCTAAAGCCCCCTGGCCCTCCTAGTGCTGCTCAATAGATCTGCATCCCCTCATCTCCCCAGCCCTACTGGTGCCCCTCACTCCCAACCCACAGCCCCTCACCCCCCCCAGGTGCCCCTCAGTCCCCACCCACAGCCCATCATCCCCCAGCCCTGCTGGTGTCCCTCACTCATAACCCACAGCCATCTGCCCTCCCCAGCCCTGCTGGAGGGGGGCCCCAGCTGCCATAACTAAGGGACCGGGAACCAGGAACCAGGGCCGGGGCCCACAGCCCCCTGACTCCCTCCCCCCCAGCAGTGCCAAAACTCCAGCTACCACACAAGGGAGGTGGCAGCTGGAGCAGAGAGAGGAGCCTGGCTCCAGCTCCCCTGTGGGCATCATGGCCACAGCACAGCCTGGTGCGGGGGGGGCGGGGAGGGGGTAAGATGCAGACTGCATTCTGCAGGCTCAGAGCTCCCTGCCCTGCTGTCCTCCCCCCGGGGGCCTCTGCAGCACATGGTGGGAAGGCAAGGATGCTCAGTGCCACTGCTGGCAGCCCCATGCCAACTGCGCTACCATGGCAAGGTGCCCCCTGCCTGCCTGGCAGCAGCATCGAGTTGTGCCCCCCACCGCTGCCAGGTGTGCAAGGGGCACCACACAATGGAGGCACAGCCAGCATGGGGCTCCCAGCAGTAGCACCAAAACTCCCTGCCCCACTCTGCCCTCCCAAGCTGGGTCCCACCCACTCAACCACAGAGGCTCCTAAGAAAGCAGCAGGGCAGGGAGCCGCAAGCATGCAGCTGGCAGCCCGCATCTGCCCCATGGCCAAATCTGGGGGGGCACATGTCCTCCCATGCCCCAAGAACGGCGTGTAGAGGTGAGGAGTCACTGCCCACCCTCCCTTCCCCCTCTCCCCCTGCAAGCAAGCTGCCTGTGGCTCGGTCCTACTCCCTCGCCAGGCCCTGCAGTCACACATTTTGGCCCTGGCCCCAGGCCCCATAGATTTCACAGATGTTAGGGCTAGAAGGGACCCTGAAGATCATCAAGTCTAGCCCCCTGTCCCAGGGGCAGGAAGTCAGCTGAGGTCAAAGAATCCCAACAAGATACGCATCCAAACGCTTCTTGAATGAGTCTAGAGTAGGTGCCTGCATCACCTCTGGAGGGAGTCTATTCCAGGTCCTGGGGGCTTGGACAGCAAAAAATTTTTTTATGTCCAGCCTAATACAGTCTTGGAGAAGTTTATGACTGTTAGTCCTTGTTTTTCCTTGGGGCGCTCTGGTGAACAGACATTCTCCCAGATCCTGATGTACACCCCTTATATACTTATAAGCAGCCACCAGGTTCCCTCTGACCCTGCACTCTTCCAGGCTGAAGAGTCCCATGGCCCTCAGCTTCTCTTCATAAGGCCTATTTCTCTTGCCCTCTGATCATGCGCATGGCTCTCCTCTGGACTCTCTCAAGCTTCTCGACATCCTTCCTGAATTGCAGAGCCCAGAATTGGATGCAGTACTCCAGCTGCTGCCTCACCAAAGCCAAGTACAGCGGGAGGATGACATCCTGAGATTTACTTGAGAAGCATCTATGGATGCAAGCCAGTATTGTTTGCTTTGCCAGCTGCGACACTGCATTAGTGGTTCATGTTCATCTTGTTGTCAATCATGACCTCCAAGTCTCTTTCAGCCGTGGTGCTAGCAACTGTAGCACTGCCAAGCCTCTAAGCATGCTGCAGGTTTTTTCTCCCGAGGTGGAGTACCTTACATTTATCTATATTAAACGTCGTCAGGTTTGTATCCGCCCACTTACTATGTTTATCCAGGTCAGCCTGGATCACTAGCCTGTCTTCCGGTGTGGACGCTATGCCCCAAAGTTTAGTGTCATCGGCAGTGCCCCGCAACCCCAGCCCTGCCCCACTCTACCCCCTTCCATCCTTCATCATGGGGGCCTCAATCTGCTCTCTCACCCAATGACTTAGCTGCGGGGAGCTGCAGAAGCTGGTCTTCACACTGCCTGGCTGCCACATGCACGTGTGCAAGCATACATGCATGAGGAACCCCCTGCCTGAACACCCTTGTCCCACTCCCCCCAACCCTAAACAGCTCCTTGCAGGCTGGAACCCAGCATTTCCTGCATTTCTCTTCTTAAAAGGAGAAAATCTGAATTTTTCCATGGCAAATGGAAAACCCAGATCCCTACCAAATTAGCAGCTTCACACATCCCAGACAAAGCCTGCGAAATGCATGGAATCCATGGGGGCTAGGTGATGTGTAGGGAGTGCACAAGCACCCCCTGAGATTGTGTAGAGGGTACACACAGGTGCATGTGAACCCCCTGGAAGTGCCTGCCATGAAACCAGAAGTGCCGATGGAAGTGCACTTCTGCTTTTACCACTGGTGGCTCCAGGCTCAGCAATTGGCCACTGGGGGACCCTTATCCACCCCACCCTGCCATCAGCAATCTGGTGCCCCCCCCAGACTTGGGAGACACCAGTCGCCCATGCATGGGGGGAAAAAGAAAATTTACCGAGTGCTGTGCCAAATCGCTGGGGCAGGAAAGAGGGGGGAGAGGCAGGAGATGCCCACTCACAGGGCTGCTGGCAAGATGGCTACCACCCCATCCCTTGGCACTGATTGTCTGTGAGGGCTGCCTGTCATGTGGCCCCACCCCTCACCACTAATTGGCAGCAGGGCCACATGACAGGGGTGGGGCTGCATGACAAAAAGCCCTTGCAGTGGTGAGGGGGTGGAGCCACATGACAGGCAGCCTCTGTAGCCAATCAGCAGCAAGGGGCAGGGCCTCCAGAGCCCTTCAGCCAATGACAGGCATGAGGAGCATGCACTGCACTCTGCAAAATGGCTGCCCAGGGCTCTGTTATACCCATGAAATTGGGGGGCAGCCCCCACAAGTTAGCAAAGTCCCTATTTATACCACTTTATGTGTAACTTCTGATCCTAGCCAGGGGATCACAGAGATCACTCTGCAATGGCTGATACAGCACAGGGATTTGTCTAGAAGGTAATACAACTTCTTATTGTGCACATAATGCAATATATGTCGATTAAAACACAGCAAATGAATTACTTTCATATGCATTTATTTCCATTAATGTAGTTAATGTATACATACTACAGTCTCACCTTACATAAAAACAACTAAATGGTGAGTTCCTCAGAGTACATCAACACGGCCACAATGTTGGTGTAGTGGTAATATGCTGGAATACCTGTGCTAGGTTCAGTCTACCTCCTAAGGGTAACGACAGGGACAAAGTGGCAGCAGTGTTCAGCGAAGGCTGTACCAGCCCACCAGAGACCCAGAGTATGAGTCTGCTAGCCTGTGCTGCCATGTCTTGGTATTATTCATGTTAACTAAATTAACCCAGGGTGAGGATTCCCACCTGCATTACAATCACGCCATTATTTGACAGTCCAAACATACCCTCAGAAGCCTTTACTTTGATGCCCTCATGTCATCCCAATGGCATCAACTTCCAGGTAGGGCATAAAGGGACTGCCAGAGAGAGATAATGAAAGGTCTGGTACATAAGTAAGTTAGACAGCAGCTATCTAAAAACATACAGCAAGCAGCTGTCACTCGTTTCCACCAACATCCATCAATCACCTCTATTATTTATCTGGCCTAATAGAAACTGTCAATGTAATGGGATATTGTCAAAGGATCGGTGTCACTCACTTTGCTTGCAAATGCCTGGTCTCTATGCAACATTTATTTTTGATACGTCTCAGCCTCATCTTGTGCAACAACAGATTATGACCATTTAATTGACATTATGTCTCAAATTAAGCCACTGAAAGCCATTACGTAAATCCTTTAGATTTTATTAATAACTAAAGCTTAAAGTGCTTCTGAAAAACCTCTCATACCCGGATTAACTTCCAGAAACAAAAAAGTGTATTTGGGAAGCAAAGATTCATTTGCTTACAAGAATACCTTAAATAGTACCAAATGCAGGGACCCGGGAGGTGGTAAGGGTCAAATTTTTAAAAGGCATTTGTGTATTTGAGAGACAGATGGGGATTTTCAAGCAGGTTACATCTGTGCCAGCTGGGAACTTCCGAGGATCCTGCTAGGAACCTACAGGTTCTTTAGGTAGTTAAATACCTTTAAAATATGTCCCTAAGATCCTGCCACTCTTTAGTGAGGTCAGGAATGGTTACTGGGAAGTCAGCACATTCAGGGTCAGGCCTCACATCTGCAGCAGTATCCTGCAGTCCATTTATCTTTTGGGCATATCTTTTTGGAATATTTCTAGGCAGGTCTGAAATACATTCAGAAACTGCAACATTAATATTGCAAAAACAGTATTTGCATTGAAATTAAACTTTCATGCTAAGTGCAACTCTGACAGTGAAATGAAAAAAGGATGGATCTATGGCAGATCGCTTTCCTGTGCTGAGTTTCCTGAGCTCACAGTTCGCAGAGACTGAGGAAAAATTCTGATTGCCACTAAAACAGGTTAAATACAGTGTAACTTACGGAAGTCAACAGAATTACTCCAGATTTAACTGATGTCACTGAAATCTCAAGTTGATCTTCCATTCCTAACTCAAAATATCCTTCTTTGTTTTCTCAAAAGGTAAATGTCAAACAAATCCGATTAATTTAAATGGATATGCCAGCTGTCTCAACGTGTGTTTTTTAATGAGATTGCTGGCGTTTCTCTTTGTTTGGTATTTCAAAATTATGTGACAGTGCTACAGGAATCACATAAATTGTTGCTGCAGAGTATGGGCCCAATTCTGCAAAACCTCCATCATATAAGTAATATTCTTTCATGTAAGAAATCCTCCTGATTCAAATCAGACAACTCATGTGAGAAATAGTGTGCTGGGTTTTGGCCTAACTCCATAAATACATTTAGGTATGCATAATTATAACTTTTACAGAATTTTAAGTGCATGAAACAGAGAGGGCTGAGATCTGATCCTGCCCTCAAATGCACAAGTGAACATTAATTCTTGACTTGTAAAAATCATTGGATATGTTTACTCATGCATGCACAGTAAGTGATTTGCCAAAAGCATGCTCATCAACATAGAAAGTATCTAAAACCTCAGTGTTTTCCTCCAAAATTCAAATGAGTTAAAGTGTTTTATTGAATGAGCTGTGTTAAGAAATTGATCCCAGGTTGAACTTTTACATAACAAGATTCAGCACATAAACAGTTGTTATGAGAGATGTATAAATTCCCCAAGCACAAACGGTTATTCAACTTGAACAAGCACAAGGGCTATGCATGACATAAATAGAGCTTAGGCCCTCGGAGCAGGACATAACTGGGTTGTAAGTAAAGCACAGGTTTTATGCCAGCTCTCTTCATTTGCCACACCATGCCTGGTCCCCTTAAGGGTACACTAACAGCTTTTTTTCTATAGCACATATGTACATGGGCTGAAACTCTAAGTGAAAGAGTAATGTTAGTATAAAGGACATTTAAGGCTGTAAGAGCATTTTAAGTATAATACATAGTAGATATCTGATAAATAAAATTCTATCCGCAACACAATATTATGGACCATGCAGTCCTTACTCTTGCAAAAGTGCCATTACAAACAAGGTCACTAACGTTTTTGCCTAGGTAAGGACTATAAAGCAAAGCTTGAATCTACAAAATATGTATTTGTAGTAGGAGATATTAAGGCAGACAAGATAATGTAGTATCCTTCTCCACAGACCACAGCATTTATTATGCTTTGACACAATTGTGTGTGTGGAGATGAACACAAATTACCAAAGAAAACTACCACATGTGTAAGTTAAGTCTATACAACTTCCATGTGCTCCCAAAACCAGACTGAACACACACCTGCTCAATCTGCTGGTGTACAAAGCTGCTGATGGCTCCAGTCCTCAATATTACAATAGCACACACCCAACAACTACAGTATTGCTTAAATCTTCAGTGTGGCAATGCTATGAACACAACAGTAATACATAATTATTTCTCACAACTTTAAGACCAACATGAAACTTTAATCTTCTCCAAGTAGAGTCACTTCTCCCTGGAATCCTGTGTTACAGATAATGCCAATGACTATTCTCAGTGGCAAATGCAATCCCACACCAACATTTGGAATATCATTTTTAGCAACCTCAGTAGCTGATTACCCAGGTGGTATATTTTTTTTTTTTTTTTATCTCCTTAGCTAAATGCTTCAGGAAGTGGAACAACAGGAAAACAGCTTAAGTTAGCTTATTAGATAATCATTCTCTCTACATTGATTAAAATCAGACAATGCATATATAACAAACAATAGCCTGGAACAAATAGCTTGGAAAATGATGCCTATTAGAACAGAATGAAGATGGAAGGAATTGTGACGGTAGAAGAGTTACATTTGTTTTTTATTACACATTTTTTATTATTAGAGTAGTAACTTAGCAATAGCAGGTATCCTACTCACTTTTTATAGTTAAGACAGGATACAAGGTACAGTACATGCAAACCACCAGAAACTCTTAAGACCATACAGTGCAGAACAATAAGAAGTTTATTACCTTTCTGATGGTCAATAACAAAGTTTCCCTTTTGATTTCCTGCTTGAATGTCATAAGTCACATCATCTCCATCAGGGTCTATAGCATTTACTGTAGCAATCAATGTATTTGGACCTGCATCTTCAGAAACAAAACTTCTGTAGCTGATAAAAAGAAATTATAATCACATATTTACAAATGTTGATGAAAAGGTCTTATAAAATACATGTACAACTGAATGATGTTTCATTACATTGTTTAATTATTATCTTTATAAAAGAATTAAGAGGTTTATAGTTTCATGAATAACACAACTTCAGATGATGTGACATGTTACTTTGTTAACCAACAAAACAATATGCTGATGAGACATGCTATTTTGTCAATGAAACAATAAGGCTTCATATTTATCAAAGCAAATAATTAACAGGCTATTTCTGCCATTTCCTTCCATACCAGTTTGGATTTCTTTTCTTTTCTTTTTTTCTGCATTTAATGTACAACAAAATAAGAAAGCTTCATGAAGCCAAGGTAATTCAGTCATTCAAAACTGTATCTTAACTTTGCACCAGAAAACTAAATGAACTATAAATGATAACTTTAAACATTAAATACGGAGACAGAGGAATTCAAATCATCAAGTTTAGTCTCTAAAAAAGGAGACAGTGAAAATTAACAAAATGAAACAAGAGTGGTAGCTTTAAGTTCTTCATAATTGAGATACAAAATAATAATAGGAAGAGATATCTCCAAACAAAAAAGTTCGGAGTATATACAGATAGTAAATTGATTTAAAGAAAGGATATCTTCATCATCATTATTTGCAACTTTGCTTTAGTCCAACATAAAGCATAACATTGACTGCAGACTAGTGTCTTAAAGGAACTGATGTATAGGTGATTATGGTGAATGTACGCAACATACTATTACAGATAAAATTTGCATTAAGTTCATCTGCATTAGATTCAAGAATGCATGAGCATAAAAAAGAAAAACCAAAATAAGAAGTTATCACCTGGCATGTACATGGAGTTAAACAGAACACCTTCTCAAAGGAACATAGCAGTGGAAGACACTTCTGAGCTCTTCAAACAAGGAAAATACCTGCAATGGTTCTTGCCAATCTGGCCTGAGGGAAAATTGTTTTGTGACCCCAAGTCTGGCACTTTGTTTGACCCTACGCAAATCCATCAAACAGATACCTGAAAGGTTTCTGCATGCCATAAGAAGTGTGAAGTTCAATGTTTCAATGGAAGGTAAAGGGAAAAAATTCACCAAGAAACAAAAAAAAACTGCATTAAAAGTCCCAAAGCATGAGACTGTCAAACTCCTCCCACAGCTACCCTCCATCACAGGAAGCTAAGTGGTTCAGGTTCCAAATTTCATTGGCCCTGAATGCCAGCTACAAAATGCTAAGCGCCACAGACTCAAGAGTGCAGACTGTTTTTCTCCCAGAGTGGCCATTTTTGGGAGAAGAATTATGAACATCTGTACACTCATGGTTTCTCCTGAGAGAACATGGACTCTCCCTGGAAAAACTGAACATCTGTTCATAGCCAGTTCTGTAACAGCAAAATGACTGTGAAACTTTTGCTCCCAGATACAATAATGTGGCTGTATTGACTTGAGAGAACTGTATGCATCCAGACAGCAGAAGCTGGTTCCATGCAGATCTCCCTATGGATAAAATAGATCCAGAGACCACTAAGTAAAAAGAGAAATTAAAAATAATTAAAATAACATTAAAATAATGCTTACTTTTTAATATATCTTGTAGTAAAACTTGAATGTTAAACTTTTTTTTCTTTGACTTTTGCTAAGTTTGCATTCTGATTCCAGTTTGTTGATAGTTAAAACATGACTACTGGCATTCGTTATCTAACGAAAACAGGTACCAAAGCCTTTGTTTTTAAAGTAGTTATGCATGAAGCCAAAGACACTTGTGCTCCACAACTACGTATAAGGAATAAACAAGCTAACAGATTGGTATGTCTGCCTTGGAAGTGTCAATTTAACAGCCCTGAATATTATCAAAACAGGTGTATTCATAAGAGTTGCAGAATTTAAGAGTAGCAACATCTGGACATGCATAGAGCACCACTAACAATTTTGCATTATAAATGTTAGGTCTTTCCAAACTACCTCAAGAATATTTAGTTGCATCTCAGCTGGTGGCTTGCTAGAAGGAAGAAAAGTAGGAAATTTTTTATTCCTTTATATAATATAAGGAATGTCAGGAAACCTTGAAGTTTTGTCCAACCTTGAAGTTGTGCAGGTTTATACAAGCTGATTCCTAACTGTGCAAACTTGGTACTACTGAAATCCCTTCCTGAGCTTTGCTCAGAGCAAGTTCTACTTTTAAGTTGATAAATGAAAATCAGAAGGTAACAGTGGGAAACTGGGAATTCCACAGGAATCTGTCACTTGAATGTAAAGGCATTCTGCTTCTGACACAACTTCAGACACTCCTAAAACCCAAGCTTTGAAGAGAAAAAGCCTAGAGCATGTAATCTGTATTTGTGGAGGAAGTGACTGAGAAGAAATACATTCCACTTATCTATTGTATACGTTTATCCTCTGACTTCTTCTCTAATGCAGTAATCATTTAAGACTGTCACTTACTAAGCATTTTGCTTTAGCAATTCAGTAAAACTGGGATGCAAGAATTTTACTAAAGCCTAAAGTTTTACCAAAGCTTAAACCATTTATTTGCCGATCGTTGCCAAATTAAGTTAGTCAGCAAATTGTACAGTTAGGAATCAGTTTCGATATAGCAATGGTTGGAGTCTATGCCAATACAGTATTCATTTACTTAGAGACTAATGACGAAGACCTATAATCAAAAAACCCATTGACTCTGTTACAATGAATGGCTAGAAGATGATTAACTTGTCAGACAGTCTAGAAATTATACACTCTGGGTAGTATGTACATGTCTGCATTTCTATACAAATCACTTCACACCATGAAAAGAAAAAACAAACTTCCAAAATTTCTGCCTTCCTCCCAAACATGAATCAATTAATTTTTTTTTGTAAAATGTATAAAACTTTAATGTTTTGCTGTAAGTGAGGACTCAATCCTGTTTCCCTACAAGCTTCATCAGCAGCATCTCTCAAAAGAATTCTGAAATCCTGGTATACATCCAGAAAAAGTTCTCTTCTAATTTTGGATCTGATCCTAGCTCATAATCCCAAATGAGGATTTGGATATATGAATGCAGATCTCAAAACCAAAAACTAGGGGTGCTCTGATAAAGATTTTCTTGGCCAACACTGATAGCTGATTATTAGCCAACCATATCGGCTGATACCAATCCAATAGCCGATATACAGGAATGCACACAGGCACCTCAGAGAGCAGCATCCGGCTGGTAAATCTGCAGAGGGGAAGGGGTGTGAGGGAGGGAAGGGGCATGGGGGCAGAGGCAGGGGCAAGCACTGCACAGCCAGGCTGGTGAATGTGACCCCGGGTTGGGGCAGGGGACAGAGCCACAGGCACCTCATCCAAGAGGCACTAGGGAGTGGGGAGGGAGGACAGCTCCCCACTACTGTGCACACCCCCAGGGGAGGCATGGGGGGCATGTGCCCCTCTGGACTTGTGCACAGGGTGAGTGCAGGCTGTACACTGCGGGCTCAGGGCCAGGGGCTGTGCTGGCCTCTTCCCAGTGGAGAAGCTGGGCTGGGAGTGGACGGGGGCAGCGGTGGCACTGAAAGGGGTGGTTACAGGGGGCTACAAGGAATTTGGGAACCCTGCGCTAGCCACAGGGAGGACTTGGGGAACTAGAGCCACCCCAAGGAAAAGGCAGCAGAGCAGAGTGCCCCAAGCAGGGGTGATGCTATAGGGGGAGTTTGTACAGCTATGGGCACCCCAAAATTCCCTGTAACCCCCCTGTAGTAACCCCTTCCAGAGCTGCCACCACTGCTCACCCACATAGCTGAGCCCACCCCACCTCCGCCCACCCTGCTTCCAGCTCCCCCCTAGGAAGAGGCCAGCACAGCCCTTAGCCCCAAGCCTGCAGCCCACTTTCACCCTGTGCACAAATCCAAGGGGTACATGCCCTCCATTGTTCATGTTTATACTAGTTCTGTGGTGCTCCCAAGCGGGTGTCATTGAGAAGCATACCTGCTCCACAGGAACTAAATCTGAAAATGAGGCAGTGAAGCTGCTACAAGGGTGCCCCCCACTATTCTAAAGAGTGATGTAGATAGAGATTTCAAAAGTGGTGATCAAGAGCATCCTCTGGATAGCTTTCCTGTCTCATTTTGACATTTGGCACATGGAGAGTGGAAGCTGGTGGACAGGTGTGTTTCTTGATATGAATGTGCCATTTATCTGTGTTACAAACGGTAGAATCTCTTCAATCGAATGGACTAAGTACAAAAGATTATATATGCAAGAGTGATCTAATTTAAGAGAGTGAAACTCTGCAGTATTCCAAATAAATTTTGGGGGACCGCAAAAGACATACTACCAGTAGGTGCAAGTTATGCCGAATTAGACTCTCTAAACCTGACTTTTCAGACTCAACAATAAATGTGTCACAAAGTCCCCTGAAACTAGCTTTACATTTTATGAATTAAGAACCAAATTTAAGGTCTCATTTTACCGATGGGGATGAAAGGGTCCGGCCCTCTAAGCACATCTCAATTGGATTATTAATATAAGAGACAAGAGTAAAAAGAAAATATCTTATATATTTACATTGCCTGGGAAAATTCAGGTGCTTCATCATTCACGTTTGAAACATGGATCCTAACAGTCGCTGTGCCAGTCTTTGGCTCTTCCCCTTTATCTACAGCCATTATTATAAACTCATAAAGATGGTTGGGTCGCTCATAGTCCAACTGTTCTGCTGGAAAGATAGTACCCTCCGAAGAAATACTAAACTCTGGACTCAACGTGTAATACAGTATTTCAGCATTTTGTTCCGAATCACAGTCGCTAGCTGCCACTAGTAAAACAGAAGAAAAAAAGATAGTTTCTAAATCAACGTCTATGAATTAGATTGTTAAAAACTTATATAAAAAAGTAACAAATGGCACAAACACAGTAATAACTTTGCCTTATAATGTAACAGTTGAAAGAATTCCTAAAAAAAAATCCACAGGATATAGTGTTTCTATAATGACTGACTATACTTCGAAAGCTATGAAGACAAGAATCTCCATAAGTGCTGTATCAAAAAGAAGATATTCAATTCTCTGAGTAGTTGCAGCTATTGAATCATTTTAGGCTCTCTCTTCATTAAAGACCCCTCTTATTAGAAATCTTTCCTCTGTATACATACTTATAATCTTATGCCCACCTGATTTGTACCACCCAAATTAACTTTGTCCCCATAATCCCTGATCCATCAAATACATGATTAACTTTACACACGTAGTCCCCTGAGTTCAACTGGACTTCTCATGCATGTCAAGTTAAGCATGTATTTAAGCGTTTGCCAGCTAAGCCTCACAATCTGCAAAAATACAGCAAAACCCAAAACAACATTATCAGAAGACTGCAAAATTCTATTACTCAATATTCTGAGTTTCAGTTTTCAATATTCTGCTAGTAATTTACTAATTTAATCTTTGTGCATCCTTTTGCAAACCAAAGGAAAAAGTAAATAAAAGAATAATCTTAAATCCTTATGCAACTGTTTGTGTTTGGTGTAAATTTGTTTTGCTACTTGACTACTAATTTTTCCATAAGCATCTTGGTAATATTATTTTGCCATTTCACATTTTTCAAAGAGGTGCATATCCTCGTTCTAAACAATAAATCTAGTAAGGTCCAAATTTTGCTCAAATACTCACAACACACAAGGCCCCAAGTACAGCAGAACTACTGTATATTTCAGTGAACTATACTGGGGCAAAGAAAAACAGTGGACATCCCACAAAGAGGCTCTTTGCAGAGCACATGGATGTTTCAGTGGTGCTACTGGCCAAATTCATTGCCATCCCTCAGAAAATGGGATGTAGGAACTATATAGCTACTGCAATTCCATGGCTGCAGCAGCAACCGCATTTGCAATGCCCTACAGTATCTCATAGAAAAAAATTGTTTCTTTCCTTCCTCTTCTCTCCATTTAACTACTTTGAGCTATACATACAGGGGCACGGGAGTTTAGGCCCATGACCCAAAACTACAGCATGCCAATTGCCACCTCAGAGTTATGAATACCCTCAAACTGGTAACTTGTGCTTCTGAGGGAAAATTCTAATTAAAAGTAGAAAACAATACTCCTACTGAGGATAATAAATAGCTTTGAAAAGTGCTTACCTTGCAGAAGTGCAGTTGTCATAGTAACTGTTTCAGGAACATTATCTTTGCTATATATTGACTGTTGGAATTCTGGGGCACAATCATTCACATCTCTGATTACAACCAAAACCTGAACGGAAAAGATGAAAGCATTAAGTAGTATCAGAGTGGATCAGGGCAATGCCTTCATCAGCATAGATATATCTGATGCAAGGATTGTCTAAAAATAATCATCTTCGAGGATGCAGAAGCTATAGGCCATAGGAAAAGCAGATTTTGTTATACTGCTCTTTTCCAGCTGAGAACTGTTCTTTATATCAGGCAGATTCCCACACAATAGCAGTTGCCTGATCCCAAAATTCTTCTACAGCAATATTTTTTTATTTTTCTCGTTTTCTGTTTTCTTAGCCCTCTCCAAACTTACAATATTTTTTATTATGTCTACCTGCCAATACTAAAACTGTCAATTATGTTATGCTTTCAACAGCATGAATGTGGCTGAGACCAGATTTTGAATTTAACTACACTTACTCCACTGAAGGTAGTTAGACCAATGCAAATACAGACTTGCTCCTAACCTTATTTTAAAATATTTTCATTCCCTTTGGTCAATATTATGGCTCAAAAATACATCTACCCCACAGAGACAGTGAGATGCTGTATAAACCAGGCTACATGGAGCTGTGTGCTGTTGTAAACTAGACTGCTTCCAATACTTAGGTTAGCTGGACTATGTCTATGTTATGTTACTGTCTGTAGTGTAGACCAGGGATGTAAACATCGTTTAAAAAATTATCCATTTAACCTCCTCTAATTATGTAAGTTAAATGGTTAACCGACAGCTCACACCTAGTTTAGAGACAGCCAGCACGACCAGTCCCAACCCTTTATGTCTTCACCGTGCACCCAGCACTGTGCAAGCCCCAGGTCACTGGTGGGAAGCCATGGGCAGGGGGCAGCAGGCACAGCTGCACCACTAGGGGATGGTGCCCAGCTGCAGAGCCATGGCTTCCCCTCACCTTCATGAGCAGGGGCTGGGGATGCAGATACAGCCTGAGTTGTAGACCTCTCCTTTGCCCAGATCCTGCCACCATTGGGAGGGAGCGGAGAGGAGGGAGGTGGCGGGACCCCACAGAGGTCAGATGGCACCTTCCTGCCACAGCTATAAGACTCCCAGCCCCACAGTGGGTGCCTGACCCCCCTGCAGTAGCAGGGCCTGGGCAGGGCAACAGGATCCCTGTGCCTCCCACTGTACTTGTGCTGCCACAGGCTCCTCCGCACTGCTGGGCCATGCCCTCCCCAGCTCACCCTGGGAGGAGGAGTGTCTGGTCCCAGTGGGGTGGCCTCCACCAGGCATACCACTTCCTTCCCCTCCTGCCCATGGTGCTGGGGTTGTTTGGGGCCTTGCCCAGCCCTGAGGTGGGGCTGAGTGGGCAGCTGGCTTGGCTCAAAGAGGTGCCACAGCAGCTGGAGTGGGCAGCACTGGATCTGAGGGGCTGTGGCCAGCCCCTTGTGTGGTGAGCACAGTCCCAGGGCATCACTGAGGGACAGCAGTGCAGCAGCTGGGAGGCTACTACTGCAGTTTCCCCTGGGATCCCTGCTGATCCACTACGCAGCTAAGACATCTCACTGCTGTTGTGGGAAGGCCCTGCCTGACCCCTGTGTGCACCCCGGGATCTTCCTTCCTCCCTCCTTCCCCTTGGCAGTGGGATCTGGGCACAGGAAAGGTTCAGCTCCATCTGCAGCCCCAGCCCCTGCTCACGGGGGCAAAGGAAAGCTGCAGCTCTGCAGCTGGGCACCACCCCCTAGCGACTCAGCCATGCCCACTGCCCCCTGCCCGTGGCTCTCCACCAGTGGCCTGGTTCCCACACAGCACTGGGTGCACAGTGAAGACATAAGGGGCCAGGACCATTCTTGCCAGAGGTCACTAAACCGTAAATAGTAAGCAGTAAACGGTATAAATATGTAATTTAACCATTTAACTGTTTACATCCCTAGCGTAGATATATCTTCAGACATACTCTCATACATGTCTGAGATGCAGGGTAGCACTGGCTTTGGTGAACACCAGTACCTTTGCTTGTGGTACTGGAAATACCTCATTTACAAGCTTGCTTGGTTATCTCTATCTGGCATTGCATTACTCCTTGTAGACATATCTATAGTCTTTCTCCAATTTAGAAGAGCACAACTCAGAAATAATTTTACAATGACCAAGTTGTGCCAATGTTAAAAAGTTTTAAGTAAAACTGCAGTAAGTAGATGTGCCTGCAAAGTAACCTTACTGGCCTTCTTCAAATCCCACCTTCCCACTTTACAAATCTTCTTTCATTAGACATAACAGCAACTATCAAGGATGATTATCCACTGCTTGTGTGCTATGGCAACAACTTGTTATGCTAATGTGACGGGCTAGCCGGTAGTGATTTGGCCCAGGGGTTTTAAAAGGGTAAAAAATGATTGGAGGGCTTGGGATTCCCTTTCCTCACCAACCAGGCCCTGGAGATGGGGAAGGGCTTGCCCCACCCCCGTGGCCCAGGTCGAGAAACTAGACCTGAATTAAGACTCACCCTCCATGTCCCCAGATTGGCCCCTCCGGCCACCTGGAGGGGGATAAAAGGGGCAGTGCAGCTGACTTGGGGAGAGACCAGTGAGAGATGATGAAGAAGGAGCTTTGAAGACCTGGGCCAGTGGGGCAGGAGCAGTTGCCCCAGAAAAGCCCAGGGGAGCAGGACCTGCAGGGGAGCGGCCAGCAGAAGAGGGTCCCCACTGGGCTCCAGGATCCCCAGCAAGAGGCTGGGCAGCACAGAGTGCGGCCCGCAGGAGAGGTTCCTTGCCCAGCTCCAGCAAAAGGCTGTGCAACATGGCATGTGGCCAACCCAGGAGGCTCCCAGCTCAGCTTCCAGTTTCCCCAGCAAGATGCTGGGCAGCATGGTGTGCAGCCAACCCAAGAGGCTCCCAGCTCAGCTTCTGGTTCCTCCAGCAAGAGGCAGCTCAATGTAAGGCATGGGGCTCCCAGCAAGTCAAAAGCAACCCCAGCACTTGTGGCTGAGTGGAAGAGTTTCCACCTCCCAGATGGAAGACCTGAGTTCAAGCCTTGGCTGGGTCAAGTTGGGGTGAGTGAAGTGTCATTCTTGTCAGAGTGGAAGGGGTCATTATATTTCCCCTCTTCCCCCCTCCCAGGTGTCTATGCCCTATATCTTGCTGTTATTCTGCATCTCATATTTTGTCAGCCAGTATCTTCTGTTGTGTCTGTTTGCACCTCATATTTTGTCAAACCTGTCTGCTGCCATGGCACCCTGGTTAAGTATCACTGCTATAAGAAATCTAAACTAACCTGAAGAAGTAGCAGGAAAACTGGAAAAAGTGATAGAAAAAGAAGAATCGCAGAGTGTTTACCTCAACTGCACTGCTAAATTGTTCCTGGCTTTCTGTTGCTCTAACCAGAAGAAGGTACTGGTGTTGATCGCTCTCATAATCGACACTCCGAGTCAAGCTGATTTCTCCTGCTGCTGGGTGGATGCTGAATAGGCCAGTAGGATTAGTGAGTAAGCTGTAGCTCAGGGATTCATTTTGGTAGGACAAAGCAGAAACGGTAAGAAACCTGGATGAAAATTAAGCAAAGTGAAAAAAAAGGAAAAAAGAAACTGGCAAAGAGAAAAGTCAAATTCAAGTGATTATTTTCCTCTTTGAAGTTCTTAAAAAAATAACTTCTTATAAATCTCCTATATTTGTTCTTCTAATTTTATTATTTGAAACAGGAAAATATACAATATAGTAAAATTGCAAACTCAGTCATGAAGACTGAATGGAAGCGGAATTAATTGGAGTCTATGAGAATTTTACCTTAAAAACCATGGAATTTGCCCCTAAAAATGGAAAAAATACATCACTTAGACATACGCTGTCTGATCATATAGAACATGCCTTATGGAAATTCCTTCAGACTCCCACCATCACGCAGAATTAAATAGAGAAGATGGCAGCTTAAATTAGTATTTTCTTCCTGCACCTTTTTATATTGCTGGTCAGAACTTCCGAAGCTGATACTGTATTTGAAATGCTGATATTGTCAAAGGCTGTTTTAGATCTTTTTTTATGGTATTTATTATTTGTATTCTATAGTAATCAAGAATCCTAATCATGAACCAAGATTCCACTGTGCAAAATACTTGGCCAATTTATCCTATTTAATATAGGATAAATAGGCCTGCAGGGTTCTATAATAATCTGTATTAGTAATTTTTATTATTGTACAATGATAGCTTGCTTTCAATAGGGGGCATTTCTATAGCAATGGCCTCTGTCATGTTATAATCTGATTACAATCAAGATGACATGGGTCATTCCTTCTGCAAACTGCTGGGGAATATGACAAATTGGCTGCCTAGCTGGCTAGTATCCTCTTAGCTCTGAAAATATTTTTAAGTGCTCAGAAAAAAAATTGTTACAAAAATCCTTCTTATGCTTAGCTTGAGCCTCGACTGAATCCAAGATGGCAGGCATGAAATGCTCTGCTAGAATTCCACAGTTCTTCTAATACCAGAACAGAGAAAGATTTCTATCCATCAAACTTTTAAAGCAAACACACACACAACATCAGTTGGTATCATTACATTCAGAAAGAATGTAGCTATATCCGTATTGAAAAATGTAATAAAAATAATAGAATTGGAATACTATATCTGTTACAATACAACATATCAGCTTAAAAATCAACAGATGTGTCGATCCATTTTGGGTATAAGCTGTCTGAAACATTACAGCAAGTCAGTGAGGATGGTGGGATGGAAGCGAAGGTAGAATTTATCTCACCATATCTAACAGCATTTTCTAGCCCAGTAAAAGGTTTTGCATTATTGTACTCAATTTTTGGTCACACCTATCAGACTGGCATGATGAACCCACCCAAAATCAAATGATCAGCCTTTGTGGCATCTTCCTTTTTGCTTAGTTTTTTGTTGTAACTAATAAAAGCAGCAAACATAACGATTGCTTCTAGTTTTCATACGATGTAACTGATTGTTTTCTAAATGTTGACAAATTTCCTGAAGTGGAAGAGTACACACAACAGGATATTTTCCTTCCCTTCTTAATGCTTCAACTGTTAAGGACATTGGTTAAAAAATTATGGTATATGCAATGTCCACTACCTGTTATTATCAACATACTTTTAAAATGCAAACGTTTTACCCTTCCTCATCACTATTTGAAATAAAATGATGACTGAAAAGTACACCCACTATATCTTAGATACCTTTTCCATTGGGTAATAACCACTTATATCAATTGCAATCTGCCAATTCCATAAATACTTTGGGATAATAGTATCACAGTTAAGCTAGGAAGCCTTGTTATGATTTGTATGCAGGCACTTTTAAACTGCTACTTACACTTTTCCCTGTGGAAAGTTTTCAGGAACATTAGCAACATATGATATGTTGGTAAACTGTGGTGGTCGAAGCCCAGCAATCACAGAAATAGAGGCAGGAGATCCTTTGTTACCAAGTTTATCTGCTGCTAACACCGTCAGGAGGTACTCTCTGTCCTTTACAAGTGGCAATCCTGTTGTTTTAATCCAGCCAGTGTCCTTCTCAACAATAAATCTGTCTTCTCCACCTAAAATACATTTATGTATAGATATACACACACAAATCCTGAAATCATGACCAGCAACTACTTTTTACTGAATATACTGAAAGAGGTGGAAGGCCCATTTCTGATACTCTTTGATTTGGAGCTCATGTACATTTAAAAATAATATAAAAATCCATCGAAAACTTGCTTTCATAATTACTTTTCTAAGGTACAGATTTTTCTGCAAGGTTATCAAAATGTGTGATATTATACTTCACTTCTTTGGTATATGGGTCCTAAAAAAAAAATGAATATTCTATTAGTCAAATACAGAAAATTTATTTTCACTCATCCTTTACTACCAATATAGGAAAAACTCTCACTAGAGGCATACAAACAAATTCACCTCTGAGGATAAACAGTACCACAACTACTCCTGTTAAGTATAGAAGGAAAAAAAACCAAGAGTGTTAAATTTTTGCAAATGCACGTGTTTTAACTTACCTTCCAGGAGAAAGTATTCTACAGCTCCATGGACTCCTTCATCTCTATCCACAGCAAGAAGTTTATATACTGGTGTTCCCGCTGCAGCTTTAGGAGACACCACAGCCAAGAATGGGAATGGCTCCATGGCCCATTCAGGTGAATTGTCATTCACATCTGTCACAGTAACTTCTAAACGCAGCAAGTACCAATCCTTTCCTGACAGTTAACAAAAAAATAAAGAAATGCTTAGCCAGCTGCTTACAAACACTTAAAATAGAATTTCTAAAATCTGTTCAGAGAGGATCTAGTATAATTGAAAGAAATACTTCTGGAAACTCAGTTTCATAGTTAATAAGATGCAGATGTTCTGCTGCACTTAAAAGAAACTATTTTGTAAGTAGGGACCTACCAAATTCATGATTTCACATTTTTTGCAGAAACTAAAAATACAATCAGTCGCTGCAAAAAAATGTGAAAATCAGCAGCTGGGGGAGGGGGGGAAGAGTGTAAAGCAAGGGGGGAAAGAAAGAGGATGCAGGGAAAGATTTTCATGGTGGAATGCAATGGGCCCCCATGCCTCTGACTGGCCAAGGGGCCTGTGGCAATGCACCTTTGGGTGCTTGCCACTTTAAGGGCTGGAGGCAGACACCCAGCAGGTGCCTGATTAGGGCGGTCATTTTAAGACCCAGCTGATATAGGGTGAGGCAGCAGTTTGCTGCCAGTGGCTGAGAGAGAAACATCAGCCGGCTGAGCTATGACTGAGAAACAGAGAAGAGTACGCTCATGTGGCCAGGATCTGCAGACATGAGACAAGGAAAGCTAAGGCATCCATGGAGGTCAAGCTGGCAACTGAAAATAAAGACAACAAAAAAATCCTTCAATAGGTACATAGGGAACACGAAAAAAAAAAATCAAGCTCCACTGTGGCACCCCTACGGAACACAAAGGAGAAGCCCACAGTTGACCCCCATAAAAAGGCAGAGCTCCTCAACTATTACTTCGCATCAGCATTCCTGAAATCAGGTGAGAACTGGTCACCAGACCAGGGGCACAGAGAATACAGCAATAACAGCGGTCCTCATAAAATCAGTCCAGAACCAGTGAAGATACTCTTATAATCAGCTGAACAGTTTCAAGTCAGCTGGTCCAGACAACCTTCAACCAAGAGCTCATAGCGGTGCCTCTGGTGAGGCTGTTTGAGGAATCATGGAACTCAAGAGTTGTCCCTAACGACTGGAAGAAGGCAAACGGAGTATTCATCTTTAAGAAGGGAAAGAGGGATGACCCTGCCAACTATAGACTGGTCAGTCTGACTTCAAAAAATTGTCAAAGAAGACATCACCCACAAGCTCGCATCTGGTGGGGTACTGAGAACCAACCAGCATGGCTTTGTAGAGGGGAGGTCATGCCTAACAAAACTGGTGTCCTTTTATGACCAGGTAAAAAACCACCCGGACAAGGGACAGAAGGTGGACATCATCTACCTAAATTTCAGCAAGGCCTTTGATACTGTTTTCCATGAAATCCTGTCAGTTAAGTTGGAGAGTTCTGGCCTAGACCAGGGTACAGTGAAGTGGGCTGGGAATTAGCTCAGTGGCCAATCCCAACGAGTCTTGATTGATGGGGTGGCCTCATCCTGGAAGGCTGTCTCCAGTGGTGTCCCCCAGGGAACAGTGCTTGGGCCCGTGCTTTTTAATATCTTTGTTATTGACTTGGATGAGGGTTTGATTAAGTTTGCAGACAATACCAAACTGCGGGGACAAGCAGGCATATCAGAGAACAAGTCAAGGATTCAGGATGACCTTGACAGGCTGGTCCTATGGGCTGAACAAAACCAGATGAGGTTCAATAGGAACAAATGCAGGGTCCTTAATCTGGGCAGGAAGAACCCTCACCGTATCTATACAATGGGTAGTGGTCCGCTGGCTGGCACTGCATCTGAAAGGGACCTAGAGGTGACAATCAACCAGAAGATGAATATGAGCCACCAGTATGACAAAAGTCACCAACAGAACAAATAGACCTCTGGCGTGCATCAGCAGATGTGTCGCCAACAGATCCAGAGAGGTGCTCCTCCTCCTCTACTTGGCATTGGTGAGGCCACAGCTGGAGTACTGCATCCAGTTCTGGGCACCACGCTTCAAGAAGGATGCAGACAAGCTCAAAAGGGTGCACAGAAGGGCTACCCGCATGATGGGACAGACCCTATGAGGAGAGCCTTTAGGATCTGGGACTGGTCATCCAAAGCAAAAGAAGGCTGAGAGGAGACTTGATAGCTGCCTACAAATGTCAAGGGTGAACACCAAGACCTAGGTGAACAACTTTTCAGAAAAGTTCCCCCCCGACCCCCTCCTACAGAAAGATGCGGACCAATGGACACAAGATAGTCGATGAAAAGTTTCAGCTGGACATAAAGAAAAACTTATTTTCTGCGCAGGTACCTAGAACCTGGAACACACTTCCAGCAGAGGAGGTGCAGTTGCCATCTCCAGTGGTCTTTAAGAGGAACCTGGACAAATACCTTGTTGAGCTTGTTTGAGCCCAATTACCTCCTGACCATGGCAGGGAACCAGACTTGATGATCTTATAGGTCCCTTCTGGTCCTTCTTTCTCTGATTCTATGATCTTGGAGATAAGGGCAGGAGCTATGGGGAGGTTTGGAGGCTCCTGGTCCTGGGCATGACCTAAACTGCACCCTGCCAGGTAAAAGGGGCGTCTAGTGGGGCTGTCTGTGGCACGATAGCCCCCAAGAAATACCAGACCAGTCACTCCCCCTGGTGAAAGGTGGGTAGGGGTAGGGGTGACCTTAACCCCAACCCCCACCACCTGGTGGGTACTTGTGAGAAATGTGGGAGCAGGGGGGCCAGGTGTGCCTGTTAATAGGCACCTGAGTCCAGCAGAGACAAAGGGGGTCCTGCAGATCCCAGGGGGGGGTAGTAGTGTTGTGAATAGTGACAATGCGAGCCCACTCAGAGTAGGGTGCAATAAGGGGCGCCTGAAGGACTGAGCATGTGGGATGCAGAGTAGGGCTGCTGAGGGCGGCCTCAAGGGCTGCACCAGGGGTGTATCAAGTAGGGCTGCTGGAGCAGCTTAAAGGACAGTACATGGGCCAACCCCAAGCATGTGTGGGAAATCAGTTGCCTGGTGAGGGGCTAGGGGCAAAAGCAGCCCAGTGTTTGGCACAAGGAGAAGCCGCATAGAGTAAGGGAGCTCAAGCGAACCAAAGGTGCTGCATGTGTAGTGCCAGAGTGGGAATAGGCAAGCCCTATGGCCCAGAGGGGGTCGCTCAATGGAGCAGGACAGTAGAGTGGCCCAGTGATGGGCAGTATGCAAGAGGCCCCTGTGAAAGGGGGGCGGAGTGAGTATGTGCATGATAGACGCCCAATAGTGGACTGAATTTGACCTGGCCATGAACCAGGGTGAACAATAATCTGGATGCCACCTGAGAGGCATGGGCCACAGTGTAGGGAAGGTTCAGAGCTGTGAATAGCGCCCCCTGGCACTGGGGTAATGCAAGGGCAGCCTCCCACTTAATAAATCATATTAACATATTAATAAATATTTATTAGCATATTAATGAATCATATCTAACCCAGGAGGTGCATAGCCCCACCAAGGGAGACACCTTGTTGGACCTGGTGCTGGCCACAGGTGACGACCTGGTGAGGGGGCTACAGGTGCTCGACCACCTGGGCGGCGGCAATCATTGCCTGCTGGAAATTCACCATCCAGCACAAGGTGGCAAAGGCCTGCAGCAAGGCAGCAGCCCCAGACTTCAGGAGGGTGGACTTCAATGAGGTAAGGAGAATAGCTGGGGAGGCACTGAGGTCCCGGAGGGGAGGGGAGTTGGGTGTCCAAGAAGAGCGGTCATTTCTTAAGGAGACGATCCTCCAAGCCCAAAAGGAGGTAATCCCTACACAGATCAAAGGTGGCAAGAGGGCACAAAAGCCCCCGTGGCTCACCAAAAGCATACGGGAACGTCTCCTAGCTAAAAGGGAGGCGTACACCCAATGGACGGGAGGGGCCACCACCAGGGAGGACTATACCTCAGTTGCTTAGGGCTACAGGGGGGCGGTCAGGAAGACCAAGGCAGAGATGGAACTGGGACTAGCCACCTGGATCAAGGACAACGAGAAGTCCTTTTTTAAAATACATAGGGGGCAAAAAGAAGGTACCAGGTAACATGGGATCTCTGCAAGACACGCTAGGAAATCTGGTCGTCACACCAGATGACAAAGCTAACCTATTTAACAATTTCTTTGCCTCCATTTTCCTGAGCAGGAACCGGATCAGTCCCCCCACCGGGACCTCCTCAGGCCCCAGGGGAGGCGCACCCAGGCCTACGGTCAGTGAGGATCTTCACTGACCGCAGTCAGGGAACTTCTGGAGGGCCTGGACATATTTAAATCAGCTGGTCCTGATTATCTCTACCCCAGAGTGCTGAAGGAATTAGCTGAGGTCATTGCGGGACCCCTGGCACAGCTTTACGAGCACTCATGGTGCTCTGGTGTGGTGCCAGAGGACTGGAAGAGGGCCAATGTGGTTCCCATTTTCAAAGGGAGGAAGAAGGACCCAGGAAACTATAGGCCAGTTAGTCTTACCTCGATCCTGGGTAAGCTTTTTGAGAGAATTATCCTGGTGCATGTCCACGAGGGGCCAGCAGGGGAGGTTATGCTTAGGGGCAACCAACACAGGTTCATTAGAGGCAGGTCCTGTCAGACCAACCTGGTGGCCTTCTATGACCAGGTCATAAAATCCTTAGACACAGGGGTAGCAGTGGACGTAGTCTTTCTGGACTTTCGGAAGGCCTTCGACACTGTCTCTCACCCCATTCTCATTAAAAAACTGGGGGACTGTGTCGACAGCTACACAGTCAAATGGGTTGCTAACTGGCTGGAAGGCCACACCCAGAGAGTGGTGGTCATTTTTGACCTGGTGGGATATGGGCAGTGGGGTCCACCAGGGCTCGGTCCTCAGGCCTGCACTGTTCAACATTTTCATCAGCGACTTGGACGAGGGGGTAAAAAGCACCATGTTCAAATTTGCTGATGACACTAAGATGTGGGGGGATGTGGGCATGCTAGAAGGGAAGAATAGGCTGCAATCAGACCTAGACAGGTTACAGGGGTGGGTGGGCGGATGAGAACAGGATGGGTTTCAACACTGACAAGTGCAAGGCAATGCACCTGGGGAAAAAGAACCAGCACCATACCTACA